GCTCCACTTATCTGGAACAAACTTCCAGAAAACTGTAAAAGTGTGGAAAGCCTGAGTTCCTTTAAATCAAGACTAAAAACACACTTGTTTAGAATTGCCTTCGACTGTTCTAGTTAAACAGTTCAACTGAAATATCATTAGTTCAACTTTTTTATTTTTTTTTAGTCCGAAAGTTTTTATAGTTCTTTTTTGATTCTGCATTTTTTATTTTATTTTCTTCCCTACTTGCTCTTATTTTGTTTTATTTTCCTATATTTTAATCATGTAAAGCACCGGAGACATTTTCAATTATAATCTGTTACTTTAAACAGAATTTAACACTGAAATAAAATTAGGTTTTTATGCATCCATGTTATACATTGAATTTTTGAATAACAAAAAGAAAAATGGAACATTTTTCCATTTAAAAATCTAAAGTGTTTTTTGAAGTAGAGAACAACAATCGTTCAGTTTGGTATATAGACAATTTCCTGATTCACATATTTTATAAAACACCTGAACTGACCGTTTTTTATTTATTTATTTATTTCTGTCTTAATGTTCGCAGTGGGCTTTATGCTGTCCTGCAAGGCTTTTAACCTGGTTTTGAATGGAGACACAGTCATTCTGAGGCACATTCATGAGCTTATTTATTCCCAAAAACTAAGACTGCTTGTTTAAATGATTGGATGCAAACTAATGAATTTAATAATAAAGCACAGAACCGCAGAGGAAGTCGGAGCGCAGCAAGACGGGAGAAACAGAGGAAGCTGAAGGCTTTGCTTTGCGTAGGAGGTTTGGAGCGCAGCGGTGCAGAGACAGAGGATCTGGGATTTTGCTGTAAGACACTGTCGTCGGACATCATGCGGTAATTTCTAAATGTTTTAAATCAGGTTGGGTCCAGATTAGCCAGCAGGTGGGTCCGGATCCGAACTGTGGTCCGCTAATCCATGACCTCTGGTATAGATCCTCCTCTTCCTGAGGAGGATGAGGAGAGCCCACCTGCCCCCACCCATCCTCACCACCTTCTACAGAAGCACCATAGAGAATGTTCTGACCAGCTGTCTCACTGTGTGGTGTGGAGGCTGCAGCGCCTCAGACTGGAAGAAGGTGAGAACAGCAGAGAGGATCATCAGGGCTCCTCTTCCCTCCATTATAGACATTTCCTCCCAGCACTGTGTGTCCCGAGCCCATCATCAATGACCCCTCACCCCCCCACCATGGACTGTTCTCCCTGCTGCCCTCTGGGAAGAGGCTTTGCAGCATTTGATGCAGGCCCAGCATATTCTGCAACAGCTTCTTCCCCAACTGCTGAATGTTGAAAACGAAAAAAATATATAAATAAATCTGAATATTGGAAAAACTGTCAATTATATCTGAGTCTTATGTTTACATTTTATCACTGCTGCACTTTAGGAATTCGAACTGTCTTGAGAGTTGTACAGAACGAAACTTTGTTTTTTCTACACCCTGTGTATCCAAAATGACAATGAAGTTTCTCTAAGTATTAACAGTAGTGGTATCATTCTAGTTTATTTTTGTTCTTCATTAAGTGAATTTTGTTACCACTTCCTTCTTCTGGTGGTTTATGAGGGGGTGATGCAGAAGCTGTGTTTGGTTCTTTCTCTCTGCTTTTTGTCCAATTTTAATGCATTCTTTCATTCATTAATGTTCTGGTGAAGATTCTCAATCATCCAGGTCGCAGCGTTGAGTTCAAAGTTTTATACCGTAGCCAACAACTGGCCAGAATTCATTAATGATGCTTTTAAATCACGTGACACTTATTTTTAGCCAATCTTAATACATTTACTATTTTTTTTATTAAGCTTTAAAATGGGATAAAAATCAAATGCAGTGACCTTGTGCAAAACACGCAAAAGCAGGACATTGCAGTTCTCAATTTATAGTTAAATAGTAGAATTATGGATGCAACTATTAAATGCAAATCGATTAATCCAAGCATGCCCAAAGTCGGCCGTCAAAGGCCACTGTCTTGCAGGTTTTAGAGGTTTCTCTGCAAGTGACAGCGAGAGCCAAAAGTGGTATCCGGCATGCCAGTTTTTAAAAATGTATATGCCTGTTGACATATGCCTGTTGGGAATTGGTCTTTGCCAGTTGGGAACCAGTCTATGCCGGCTGCCAAATGGCATAGGCCGGTTGCCAGCAGGCAAAGGCCGATTCCCAACAGGCAT